AAATCGACCTTTTTTATCACCTCAAAATGACAAAAAGTGTCAAGTCAGTGTCATCTTTGAACCAAACATAACATAAAAACTTCGTTGATAAAAACACATAAAAACATGTTGCGTACCATAAGTGGTTCGAGCTATAGGTAAAAAAACCTAAAAAAACTATACAGCTTGCGTTCAGTATTTTTTTCAAAAAGCAGAGCGTGCTGAAGCGGAGCCGTAATCACGTGACTAACGAGCGCTCAGGGCTGCGTTCAGATTGAACGTCGGGTGTCGCCCGAGCGCGTTCTGACCGTTCAGATTGCTTTGGGTAAAATTTACCCAGCCGTTCAGATTGTCAGTAGATTTTTACCGGACGACGCCCGGACGCACACTTTTGCGTCCCATAAAATAGCAAGATAAAATTTGCCCCGCATGCGCGTTTGTGTTCTAACCTTAAATAATAAAGGCAAATATTGTAAATAATTATTTTTGCGAGTTATGGTGGGTTTATCCAAATTCTTCGTTATCCTCATCAACTCTATTTAAAAAAAAAGTGGCCTCTTTTTTTTTGTTTAGTTTGTGATGCTAAATTGATAGCAATCACTGACACTAGCACATCCTCGTGGTCCGAAGATGAAGCGTCCTCATCATTAAATAACTCTTTAAATATGAAGGAAGATACTATGGCTTCTTCCATAGTTAGTATTTATTTAAAAAATTTTGAAGAAAATGGCAAAAATGTTAGAATCAGTGAGGTTATAAAGAGAGAATGCGTCTTGGCCTTGGCCGTTCAGATTGGGCGAATCGCCGGGCACACTCGGAGTGCGCTCTCTATCGGGTGCGCTCTTCACTGGACGTCGTCCGGACTCTTCAATCTGAACGCGCCCCAGCAGTTGAACGCATCAGAGCGGAATTTTAATAAACGAACCAGATAATTAAATCGTCAATTTACTGAACACGGTCTGACCCTGACGTATTTAAGCTAACCTCAATAATCAATCAGTATCAATCAATATTGCTGAAAATTAATAAAAAAACTGTTTATGATACAATGGTTCAAATGAGTTGAATGAATTCTTGTCAGAATTAGGCGAAAAAGAAGTGAAACCTTTCTTTTCACAAGTTCCCAGGCAATCAAATTGTAAGAAAACAATAGTAACGTGCTCTCAACCCGAATGAAGACGATTTAAGTTGGGACAGAGATTTGAGGGTTCGTAATATAACGATTTTTATATCAAATACAATAATAATGTACAATTAAAGGTTTGCTGCAAACATTTTTGCTGCGGTGGGTTTTCTTTCTAATTAATGTTAATACGTATTTTGTCATATTTACGTTTAAAAATAAACAAAAACAGAAACATAACCGAAATTGCACATTTTGACAAGTGGAACCAATCAAAGTCATTCCACACAGGTATCGCGCGTCATTGGGTTCGTTCCAACCCCCCGTTTTCGTATCGTCATGAAACGGTTTCGGAACTGTTAGGATCGATTGCAGGCGCATGCGTTGACCTTGCACGGTTTTATCTTGGTACAGAATCAACGGGTAGTTGGAACGGTTTCATGATCGTTTTCGTAATGACGACAGTTCAAATAACTTTAACCGAGACTTTAACCCTAAATTTGTTTGTTTGCAAATTAAAATAGAAGAATTATAGGATTAGGATTACAAAATAAAAAAGGCAAATCGAACACCAACGCTGATTCATTATCAAGAATCTAAAACTGAATCCTTGCAAGCTGATAACATCAAGGATTAGCAAATAGCTGATAATAAATTTTGTACTTTTTTTCACTTGAAAAAATAAAAATGCTACAGTTTTATAAGTTAGATTGGAAATTGGTTTTTTAACAACAACATGAACAACAAAAACAGGTGACAAAAATTGAATTACGCATGTCAGTCATGAATCAGTCCACGCGGTTCTTGCTTTCCACTCGGGATCGAAATGACGGTGCTAAAACCAGTTCTCGAACGATCCCAGGTTTGGTTGGAACGCCAACGAAACTGTACGGTAAACGATCATCTCTCGGTTGGAACGCGTTTAACCTATTGGTTCGTTCCAACCCCCCGTTTTTGTATCGTCATGAAACGGTTTCGGAACTGTTAGGATCGATTGCAGGCGCATGCGTTGACCTTGCACGGTTTTATCTTGGTACAGAAACAACGGGTAGTTGGAACGGTTTCATGACCGTTTTCGTAATGTCGTTCGACGGTTCAAATAACTTTAACCTGGACCCCTCACTTTTCTTATGCAAAATGGCTTTCGGCCAATTTTTTTAAAAATTTAGTATGTTGTAGTCCTTGATGTTCTGAACAAAAGGCCTGATTCGATTCTATGTCCAGTTTCCGAGATATCGGTGCTCAAAGTTGGACAAAGGGGAATTTTAATAATTTTCCTATAATCTTAACAATAGCCTATTATAAATAAAACCCCTACTTTTTTGATAAAATTATTATATGAGAATTTTGCTTACAGTATGGTATTTTAAATATGGAATTCATTTTTTATACACGGCGAACCAAAATATTTATATAGAGGTTTATTTTATTACATTTCAAAAGTATGCAAAATTATCGCCCATCATTTTAAACCGATGTTCTGTATCTTGAAAACAAACGGCCAGATTTTCACAAAACTGTGATATTTTTTATGTATCGATAGCCAAAGAAAAATGACGCAATAAAGTGTTCGGGCGGTGTAACATAATAATGGGTATTATGAGGTTTAATGGTCTCCAAACTGTGAAGTATGTATAGTTCCAGACCGTACCGATTTTTAATACGGGGTGTTTGAAATTACGGGGAAATCTCCGGACTACAAAAACTAAAGACCAAGATAGCCCTTTGAGCCATACATACCTTAGTTAACAACTAAAAAGTTACAGGGTGTTAAATTATCAATTTAATTTTCGATTTTGTTATTTAACATGAAAACTTTCTAAGCATTTTGGATGAATTCAGGTGAGGATAACATATCCGATATGAATTTTGTCCAAATATGTAGAGGGCGCTACGTGCAGAATTATTTTTAATGATTACCGTTACTTCAATATATTTTGTGCCATCCTGTGTATCAATAATAATTAAACTATGTATTTTATTCTACCATCCTAACTAAAATATATCTAAATAGGAGTTGAGTAGGCAAAACTGTACAGGCTATGAACTAAATTGTCAACATGATAGTAAGCCTAAAAAAAAACTAAACCAGAAAAAACTAAAAATAAACGTAACCAACATCTAGCTAAATATGTAAACTTGCGTGCATAGAAATCGGCCCACTGCTAAGTTTTGACTTCAACTATTTTTTGTTTAGAAACCATTCATGAGATTAAAAAAAGGAATATACCATTTGAAAAACAATTCAATATCATCTAATATGAGTTGAAATTATGTATTTTAATAATAATCCTATGAATAGTTTTCAAAAAAAAAAAAAGTTGAAGTCAAAAGTTAGCAGTGGGCCGATTTCTTTGTACTTAAATGTATATAGGCACATGAAACCGTAGGAATATAATTTTGCTAGTTATTTCTATTGGCAACATCTAGAACAATCTCTAATAGAGCTGTCGACGGATATCGAATCTCTTCGTGATGTCTTGCATATCCCATGTACCAAATGAAACTGGCTACATGCGCATAGCTTCCCAACGTTCGTGCACCACTTTTACATGTGCAGTAGTATCCACTTATTGGATTTTCCAAATTATTTTCGAAAGATATCCAAAGTTGGTAACGAGTCGCATTCCTAAATCTAGAAAAAATCCTTAAATGCAACAGTGATGGTTCATTGACCAAGGTATTTAATTGAAATTCATTACGTTCTGGATTTTGAAGAATAGAGTCCTGTACATATGAAGGAGCGAGTTTTATTTGGTATGTTCCCACGGTGAGGTCTTGAAGATAATTTAATTGTAAATGAGGAAAATTAGGAACATCGGCAATATTAACGGGCGCCCACTGAGCACGTCGTAAATGCCAATTTTCCGCCTCGGCTCTTATTTGAAGCTGATTAATTTGTTGGAATATTATTTGCAAGTTCGGCATTTGCTTCAACCATATCAATTGAAGGATGGTATCGATTTAGTAGGGCTCCAGCAATTTTCAAATAATCTCCTAAATGTGATGCATCGAGAATAGAAATCCTCTGTGCCAAGAATTTAAAAACTGACTTTAGGTGACCGTTCCTCGACTCCACAATCCACCGAGTCTTGGTTATTAGACGGGAGTCATTTGCTTCCTCAGTTGTTAACTGTCTCTGACCATGAGGTAACAAACTAGGCATTTTGTAGTCAATACCAAGTTCTTGTAAGATTGGAATAGAATCCCGATACCCTCTGTCGACAACAAATATATCGTCTTCTTCAAACCATTCACGCAACAGATTCCCTTCTCTTTGTAGCTCTGTATTTAATATTGCCGCATCATTATTTAATCCATCAGAAAAATATGGATTAATAATGTCCAGGATATATCCATCAGGAGCTACAATTAGGGTAGGTTTGATGAGATGTTTATGTTTGTGAACCGAAAACGAATGGCGTAAAGTTCTAAAGTTGGAGCTCTTTTCAATAGAAAAGTAAGTGCCATCTATGTATGCGATTGCCTTTGGATTAAGTGGTTCTGGATTGTATAATATATTAGAGAATTCAGTCACATGTTGACGGATATAGTTTTCTCTTGTTACCGCGGTAAGTCCAATATTTTGTGGAACAAAGTTCTCCATTAATGATTTCCTGACATTTGTTATTGCCATACTAACCTGTTGTGAGCTTCGGTACTCAAATATAATTCGGAGAAAATCATCCGATAACCCATGTCTCATTTTGCATAAATAAGCAATTAAGTCTTTTCTTGAAATATTTCTAAAAGAAAAATATAAAAAAAGTAAAAATAGGAATTCTTTAAAAGATGCACCTAGTAGTATTTAGGTCTTTGAAATAGATTGTAAATGATTCCATTAAATAAGTACCTCAAAAGTTTTGCTAATCAAATAAGTAGGTATTTATAATTATTTTTACCTGTGCTGACCATTGTCCAGAACCGGATTGCAAAATGTGAAAAGATGCTGATATTGTTCTTTGGTAAGGCCTGATATGTCTTGGAAATCCTCATCAGATAATGAATTTTCATCATAAAACCATCTGCTAGATCTGGCTGCCAATATGCGTAGTTCTTCTAAGAACACTTGCAAGTCTTCTCCCGGAATCAAATACGCACGGTGAATATATCTTAAAGTTGGCATCAAAAAAGGTAGCATATATCCATTGTTATCTAAATGTTGTGCACAAGATCTTGCCCCATTTGGAACGTATATATTTTGAGCTATATAGATCTTTGCTCTTGAAGAAACAGACAACCTATGAAGATTCTCTATCGCATCGCAGATTAAGCCACTTTGTCTACGCGTTTGCTTTAAAACGTTAATTCTTACGCAACGGGGATCATGCTGTATTTGCTCAAGTTCATTTATTATGGATCTATTGCAATTGAGGCAAATCCGTGATTGCATTTCAATGTCCTGCTCTGGAAAGCCTTCACGCTGGCGCCTATCTCGTGCAAGTTCAATTTTTGGTTCATTGTTGGCATCGTACAGAATAGCCATTTGCTGACGATTAAAATTCCCATTACATGTGTAACAACGAATCAACAAGCGATTTCGAAAAGCCATTATTAAATTAAAATAATCAGAAAAAGCAATATTTGAATATTTTCAAGTGTCAATGTTTGTTGATATTCGACGCAAGTGACAGAAACCGTCTTTTGTTTTGATATTCAATTGTTATGCTACACCGTCTAAACACTTTATTGCGTCATTTTTCTTCGGCTATCGATACATAAAAAATGTCAAAATTTTGTGAAAATCTGGCCGTTTGTTTTCAAGATACAGAACATCGGTCCAAAATGGTGAGCGATAATTTTGCATAATTTTGAATTGTAATAAAATAAACCTCTATATAAATATTTTGGTTCACCGTGTATAAAAAATTAATTTCACATTTGAAAGACCATACTATAAGCAAAATTCTCAAACAATATTTCGATCAGAAAAGTAAGGATTTAATTATTATAGGCTATTGTTTAGATTATAGGAAAAGTTTCAAAATTCCCCTTTGTCCAACTTTGAGCACCGATATCTCGGAAACTGAACATAGGATCGAATTGGGCCCACGGAGACATTTGTTCAGAACATCAAGGACTAGCACATACCAACTTTAAAAAAAAATTGGCCGAAAGCCATTTTGCATTAGAAAAGTGAGGGGTCCTTTGTTTGTTTGCAAATTAAAATAGAGGAATATACGATTACAAAATAATATAATATAAAAAAGGAAAATCGAACACCAACGCTGATGCATTATCAAGAATCTGAAACTGAATCCTTGCAGGCTGATAATACCAAGGACCAGCAAATAGCTGATAATAAATTTTGTACTTTTTTTTACTTGAAAAAATAAAAATACTACAGTTTTATAGGTTAGATTAGAAATTGGTTGTTTAACAGCAACATGAACAACAACAGGTGACAAAAATTGAATTACGCATGTCAGTCATGGATCAGTCCATGCGGTTCTTGCTTTCCACTCGGGATCGAAATGACCGTGCTGAAACCAGTTCTCGAACGATCCCAGGTTTGGTTGGAACGCCAACGAAACTGTACAGTAAACGATCGTCTCTCGGTTGGAACGCGTTTAATCTATGGCGCATGACCCTGGCCACACATTGAACGGTTTTTGGCTGGGTTGGAACGAACCTTGGCGCATGACCGTGACCGTACATTGTACGGTTTTTGGCTGGGTTGGAACGAACCTATTATATGTGTCTTTTTCTTTATTGCAGAAATCTTAATAAACTATCCTTGTTGTTCATTGCATGAGAAAGGTCCATAAGGAGAGCACGGAGAGCATTTGTGCACATTTGTGTTCTGGCCCTTGTTGCTTTCAAAGTGAATTTTATAGTCTTTGGTGTTTCTACGTATTTTTTATTGGTTTTGCCCATTGTTGTTTTCATAGTGAATCTAAAGGTGGGTTTAGCCAACTAATAATGCATAATGCACAATTTTAATTCATAATCGATAATTTTTAAAACTTCATATTTAAATTTAAATACACCCGTTTATACAACGCATAGTGGACAGGGACGTAGCGAAGGCCTCTGGTTTGGGGGGGGGGGGGGTGACATTCCTAATTTTCCCAACTTTATGTCACAGAATTTGAATTTTCAATGCATTTTTATTATTTTTTCTACAAACGTGTTAAAAATGCAATTTTTAACACGGCCCCGAAGCATTGAAAATGTTACTTTATCGCACTAGTGCCATAAAGTCTTTATAGCACTAGTGTTAAAAGTGAAACATCAAATTTTGAGAGCGGACGTCAAAAAAAGTTTGTATTTTCAGTTATTTACATTGATATTAATGGTGAAATTTGAACAACTGAGGTAGCCCGATTGGCCGCCTCATCTATATTTTTCGAAGGATCGATGCAACCCTCTGTTTCTCCTGTATCTGACCACGACAGACTTTCAAGAAACTGACAAGACATTTCGTTACCTGTAAAACAAGATGCTAGTTGTATGGATTTTTTGACAAATGTCAAATTGAAAAATTTTATGTAGGAAAGATGCTTCCAATTTATTATTCATTTAAAAATCCAATTTGTTAGTGGTTATTGCTTTTTATTGCCGTTTGTAGAAAAAATATTGTATGATATTTGTGTTAAAAGTATTTTTAAGGCACTTATGTGAATTGCAGAATTCGCTTCGCTCATTCTGCAAACTTTCACATGCGTGCCTTAAAAATGTACTTTTAACACTTATATCATAAATAACTATTTTGAACATAAGTTTAACATAACATAACCTATAATATTCAACCAGCCCGTTAGCAAACACCTGCGCATGCTTATTTGAGCATTTTTTAGACGTTATTCGAAATAGCGTGTAACGTAAATGTTAGGTAAATTACGTTATGCGGTAACGTTATTTCACTACGTAGTGTTAAAAATCGAATCGCGCATACGTCAAAATTACGTTAGCGCTAATACTGCATGATGCTATTTGGGTTACCGATATCACTCTATTAGAGAGATATCGGTAACCCAAATAGTGTCATGCAGTATTAGCGCTTAAGTTATTTTGACATTAAACCTATGCGCGATTCGATTTTTAACACAACGTACCAAAATAACGTTACCGCATAACGTAATTTACCCAGCATTTACGTTAAGCGCTATTTCGAATAACGCCTAGAAATAACGCAGTGGAATAATATAGGTTATGTTATGTTTATTGTTTTTGTTAATTTTATTATTTTTTTTGTATTCAAGTGAATATGGATTGTTCATAAAAATAGTAAAAAAGCAAATCCTCTGTCCCTGACCATAAACAACAGACAACACTAATCAAATCACAACAAGGTACAGGTTACGCTAAGGTTAAAAAATAACGGATGCGAACAGGCAAATTTTACGTTAAACTGTTTTCCGATAACTCTAATTTGAAAGTATGATACCGCTTTACTTTAAAAAAATAACTCCTGACGTTATTACCGTCCATACGCGCTATCTGATTTACCGATATCTTTCTATTATTTCACATTGTTGACACGTTGTCTACATTTTCTACATTAGACACTTTAAGTTGGACCAAACACGTAACGTAATCTTTAAACGTAAACCCTATTTTTTACTATAGCGTCGAGTAACCGTCGGTGCTCACAAATCAGTTTAAGTTAAATTTTCACGTAAACGTTAACGTTATATCTAACAATCATGATCCAGCCTTTAAATTTTGTTGTGAAACAGACAAATTAGAAATAATTTTGTGTATTTCGATTAATTTGAATTACATGACAACTTTTTTTAAGGTTAAAATACATTCGGCAAAGGTCGACACCGGCAATCTGGCTTTCGGGCCCACTCGGTTTAACGAACGTTTACGGATAAGGTACACGCAAAGACCCGGTAAATAGAGAGTTCTCGTGCCGTCCAAATTTCGAATACCGTAACGCTATTTGACAAGTATGACAGTTCATACGGTATTAGCGTTAGCGGAGCCCGCTATCTAACGGAACTTAGCGGATGCCTTACCGTAACGCTATGCCATGTCAAAACTAGTTCACGTTCCATTTATGTCTGCAAAAACAGCAACTTCTAATAATTCCTCCATAAAAAACACCAAGGGAAAGTTAATGAAGCTCAGGAATCTTCAGGATAAGTAAGACTTGAAAAATAAACAAAAAAAAGTTGACTATATCACTCAACCCAGCTGTCAAAATGTAAACAGAATATGGGATTAGAGGATTTATGTGTCTTCGTGTCCGAGAACTATAAAAATACCATGTGTAATACCGTATGGTTAGCGGTACCGTATTAGCGTAGCGTCTGAGGCACGAGAACTTTCTAATAACGTGACACGTAACACGCTATTTCTGGTGAAAAGAAACTGCGCATGAGCAGCTGTCAAATCTTACGTTAGCGTTAACGTATTTTGTCTAACTTAAAGTGTCTATTGTCTACATTATCTACACGTAAAGTAGACAATGAAAGTCTACATGTAGTCGCACATCCCTGCTTATGATGAAAAATATTTTATTTTGGTTAACATAATAGGCAAAGGAAAAGATGCGACCGAGATCTGAAAAAGTGAAAAAGGGCATATCATTTTGACTTTTATCTTAAAAAAAAAAAAAACAGACTTTATTATATTTTTTGACGCAGATATTCATGTATCTGCACAAAACAAACAAAATTTTCCGCGAGTGTAAGCATAAGTCGAGTATGCTGGATAATGGTGATGTGTCAATTGTGTCATACTCCCCGAACTCCCTCACCATCAAATTTTGAGCCTGCGAGTGACGTCATTATCAGAAGCGTATAGTCATGACGTCACCCTCAGACCTCGATGGAATGCTTTCGATTCAGGCTGTGCTAGTGCGTTAATTTTTTCATCGATTTTAAATGTAGAAAAGGTGATTTTCGGTCTATTCTCACAGAAGAAATTGAGTAAGTGTTCTTGATCCTCGAGTATCCCAGAATTTGATGGTGGGGGAACTAGGGGAGTATGACACAAATGACACATCACATAATCCAGCAAAAGATTATGCTTGGTTATCCTTGCGAAAAATTGCTATTTTGCACCCAAGAATAATACACACTACTACTATAGGATAGCCTATCCTCATAAGTAGAACAAATGTGAAGCCTCCCACCACCCTAAATCACCAGTTGGGACGTAGACAACATATCGTTAAGCTGGCTGTTTGCAAACAGAATACACACTATAAGGAGTGCTCATCGGCCAACGATCATACACACTAGTACTAAAGGATGGCCTAACCTCATAAGGCCTGTGTATAAGAAATCCCCCCCTTCCCCCAAACCCTCAAAATACCAGTTGTGACGTAGGCAGCATGTTATTTCTCACCTTGACGTAGGCTGACGACTTAGTTATGACGTCGGAACTCGGAAATGGTATGGAAAAGGTAACTCACCAATATGGCGGCGATTACCAAAAACGACGCCAATATAGAGTGTTTATTCTCCTTGCTTATCGGCCTCGTAGAGGTGGGAAACTATCGATAGTAATTATCGATATATCGATTATTTG